TATTGAATCTTTCTATCTAGGAGCATGGCTCTTCTCTCATTTCTTTCAACACCTATTTTGTGATGGTCAGAAACATTTCTTAACAATCTTCTCCCTATAAACATTGCATATTTCCTGTTAGTTGTTTAACTTTTACATTGCCTAAGTTAATAGACTTAAATTATTTCTGTGGCTCACATGACATATAATGATTTTTAATAATAATAGCTAACATTCAGCATTACACTACAGCTCTGGAGTCCAATAACTGGTTTCAAATCTCGGCTCTGTCATTTAACAGATATGACTTGTAACTTTAGTTAACCTCTCTTTGCTTTAGTTTTATCATCTGCAAGATGAAGTTCTTAGTTCTGGCTAATATTTTAGTGACTACATTGTTATACTTACTAGATAAGATAAAAGCAGTATAATCCTACCACAACGGCCAGGCTGAGGAATGTTACTGTTTGTTATTTTTATTCTCAGCTAAACATTGTACTAAATGTTTTACGTGTGTTAGCTCATTTAATCCTCACTATGTGGTGGGCATTATTGTCAAGCAGAATATAATTTGAAAGTAGAGTCAAAGGATTTGATGACATATTTGCATATGGGATGTTAAGAAGAAAAGAATATATAGCATGATATCAAGAATTTTTGGTCTGAGCAATTGCCACTAATCACTGCAAGGAAGAATTGGGAATGTAGGGGTGGTGGTAGTTTAGGAGCACAGTCGTGGAGCTATTAACTTTGTCTGTTAGATGATCATGGTGATGGACATATGAGTCTAGCTTTCATGTTGGAAGTACAGGGCACATATATACGTGTGTGTGTGTATGCATACCTACATATATGTGTGTATGTACATGTATGCACACACACATATATATATTTGCCTTGCACTTCCAACATGAAATCTAGACTCATATGGCCATCAGCATGATACATATATATACATACACACACATACACACACGCGCACACACACACGCACACACACACATATATACGTATACACCAAGGAAATAAGTATAGGTGGGAAATATAAGATGTCTGTGGAATGAATCACTGGGTACTCCAATACTAAAGAGTTTGAGAAGAAGTGAAAGAGCCAGCCACAGTATAAGAGGTAAATCCCAGTGAGGTAGGTCAAAATACCAAAAGAATATGATATCCTGGAAGCAGAGAGAAGAAATAAGAAAGTGTTTCCAGGTTGAAAAAGTGAACAAGAGTGTCTGATAGGTCAAGTAACATGGAGACTGCAAATTATTCCTTCTACTGTTAGCTTGATTATAGTTTAGTTAGGCATAAATGTTTTATAAATTACAGTATAGTCAGGCACATTATATTTTTTCACATACTTTGTAGATATCTATCAAGATGATTTTTATCATTTTTATTATTTAATATATTGAGCACATGACCTGAAAAGATATATAAATGGTGATGCATCATTTTATTATTGGGATAAACTTTCCTCATTCATGAGGTAGCAATCTTAAACTGTTGAATTAAGTTTACTTAATATTTTACTGTGAATTATTGCATATATTCAAATTTAGATTTTTTTCTCTGTGTATTTTATTTTCTTTATTTTTCTTACTTTTCCCATAATATTTCATTAAATCCATTCATTGTGAGACTTTAATTTGGGTCCTATACATCAATTTTAATAACATAGTATTACTTGTTATTAAAGATATGATTTAATTTCACCATGAAATTTTCTAGTCATAGAGACTCTTCTGAGGCAAAATATATGACTAATTGTCTGTTTTTTTTCTATGAAAATTGTTCTTTAATATTCCAAATCAATAGAACTTACCTTTATTACTTATTTTCATACAAAACTATCCACTTTATGCTGACATATATAATTTAATATCTAGTGTTGCCTTTGTGTGTTTTCCTTTCTTTTTTATTTAAACATTCTGAACAGTAAATTGTCTTCCTATTATATTTTTCTTTTTGCTTAGAACAAGTTTAGGTTTTAATCAATTAAATATTTTTACCTTTTAAATTCCTGTTTCTACTTTTCTTTTTTATATTTACCAATTGTCATTTTTTCTGGTTTATTGAATTGAATGCTTGAATATTCTGTTTTCAATATTTCCTCTTTCAAATAAATCTATCTTAGGCCATGAAGTTCATACCAACTGTTTAGGCCACACCTCATGTGTCTAATAATACATTCTACTTTTTTTATTTAAAAGTAATTTCTAATATTTGATTTTCTTCTTAATCAAAAGTAGTTTTAAAAGGGAGTTACTATTAAATTGTGTATGGGTTAAACATTTGCTTGACTGTCTTTTATCCTTATATCCTTGCATTATATACACCTTCAATTTGCTGCATAATCTTTAGAGTTTTACATTTTTAGTTAGCAAACTAAAAATTTTAGTTTTTAGTGCTGAACTAGAAATAATCCAGGGGCCAGGTCTATTTTGGTCACCAAATTATTACCCGGCCACTAACCTACAGCAAGGCAATCAAAACCAAATATTTGTTGTTGTTAATTATTTATATATAATATAATGTGTTAATCTTTAATTGGATTTGAATTTAATTTCACAACAACATTGCCAGGTGGACAAAGTAGATCATTTTATTCCCATTTTGCAGATGAGTCACCTGGAGACTTAGGAAATATAAGTGATGTGTCCAAAGTTTCGGGACTCCAAGGTGAGCGAGAATTCAAATCTCAAGTAACTTCTTCTTTTTAAGTCCATCCTCCAGTCTGCCTGTGAACAGACTATTATAATTAATCCATAGCAAATATTTACATTATTTCTAACAGCAGTCGACAAAATGGGACTTGAATGTTCGCAATTTTGATGAACTTAGCCTTTTTCTGTTCCATTTTGCAAACATTTGCAAATAATTCATCTAAATCTCTTTCTAGGGGTTGCTTGCATCCTGCTGGTTAAGAGACATCCAGTGGTGAACATAGAAAAGGTAGCATTCATTTGCATGAAGAAATGCTTTTTAATATTTTTAGAGTCAGACATCTTTAGTTGGGTCCATTAAAAGCTGAAGAAAATATGTAAACACAAACATAAGTAAATTAAATCTTTATGCAAATTTGTGTGGCTCAGATATGCCCTTGAACCAACCCAGGTACCCACTGATGTAAACACTGACACAATTTACATACCTGCTGATTGTAGTTCAAATTCTTTTTAATATTTAATATGCAATTTACAAAGCATTTTTATTCATGTTACTTTACTTAATCCCTAATGCTAGACATGAAAAAATATTGTCTTATAGATGGCAACTCAGTTGCCTCAAATTATTCAACCTAAAAGTCAATAATGTGACTGGAACAAGATCTTTTAATGCTGATTCATTGCTTTTTAACAATTCACACTCTACAAAATATCTTTTTTACATATTCTTCAGAAAATAAAATCTTTATTCCAATTTATGTCGGTAGAATTCCGGACTGCACCCTTAGAAGAAAGTATGGGATAGTTTCAGCACATTGGACATGGTTAGGAGTGGGGAAAAAAATAATACAATGGTAGAAGACCCTCATTAAAACTGGGAGACAGTTTGAAGTTGCTAAATAACTTGTTTGCAGAGGTGTGATATTCTTTGGACATAAAAACAAACAAACATAAAAGCATGTTAGGGCAGCTTTAAAAGGAGTTCTTCTTATTGTGTATTTTTCTAGAGATTACACCCTTATCTGTCACTGGTGGGGTCTCTCAGACAGTGCTGAAGACTTACAAAAAATAAAGATTCCTTCATCACCTGAAATTGAATTGCCTTTATAAACAAATACTTTTAGAATTATCTGTGGTTTTTCATCTTTCTCTCCACCAAAACACACACACACACACACACACACACACACACACACACACACACAGATATGACGTAACCGTATATTTATGTCTTTTCCCAAGAAAGATGAGAGATAATGATCAGCTCAGATTGCTATTCTGTAAGGTATCAGATTTGTGTGTATGTGTGTGTGTGTGTGTGTGTGTGTAACAACCTATTGCAGAGAATCTGGAACAGGGAAATATTAAGAAAAGGGTAACACTGACATCTAGTCAATATTACATATATCTAAATGCCTTAAAATCATCTAATATAATATTATTCAGTGTTAAGAGTTATCAGCCTGGCCAATTGCCATTGCTTATGCCTGTAATCTCAGCCAGAACTTTGGGAGATTGGGGTGGCTGGATCATTTAAGGTCAGTGGTTTGAAACCAGCCTAGCCAACATGACGAAACGCTGTTGCTACCAAAAAATACAAAAATTAGCTGGGCATGGTGGCTTGCATCTGTAATGCCAGTCACTTGAGGCTGAGGCATGAGAATCACTTACACTCTGCAGGCAGAGGCTGCAGTGAGCCAAGATGGCACCACTGCACTCAAGCCTGGGAGACAGAGTGAGTCCCTTTCTAAAAAAAAAAAAAAAAAAAAAGAATCAGCTCTAGGATAGCACACAAAATTATGTAACAGAAACTTTTTACTATATCTTGAATAACTCTTGCTAGCAATTATTACTTACTTTTCACGTATTAACTGCTGAAGAGCCTGGGACACATTCTCAACCAGTTCTAACAGCATTCCATAGGAAGTAGACATTAGTATACCAATTAGAATACTCTCCCACAGCTGTGAAAGAGAGTTTGGCTCAGAAGACTTATATAACTTACCTGAATATCCTGGAAAAACTTTGTTGGGCAGGAATGCAAGTCCAGTTCTGTCAAGCTTTTATCCTTATGTCCTTAACCACTGGTAAATTCCTACAATGGTGAATAGAATCTGCAGTCTTCTCAGTAACAAGGTGAAGAGAATGTCTATAGAATTCTATTATTATTCCTGTTCCAGGAAACATTTTTGACTTACTCTAACAGATTTCTTGAGATCCATGCTGTGTAGTTTTTCTTTAAATAGGTATTTAGGCTCTCTGTCTCTGTCTCTCTATTTTTATATATATTATATATCTATAAACAATATATGTATGTATGTATACATGTGTAATAATATATATATTATAATAATACTTACCTGGCAGGCGAAATACCACTATCATGAAGGTGATTTTCCCAGGGTGAGGCTTATCCATTGCACTCCTGATGTGCTGACCCCTGCGATTTCCCCAAAGGTGGGAAACTCGACTGCATAATTTGTGGTAGCGGGGGATCTGCATTCGCGTGGTTTCCCCTGATCTTTCACAGTTTGCAATAAAGAGACATGCAAATAAAAAAATATATATGCATAATATATATAATTATTATATAAATATTATATAATTGTATAACATATATTATAATATTGACAAAATATGTATAATAATGTATATTATTATACATGTACACATAGATATATTGGTTATAGATATATAATATATATAATATACATATATACATACATATATTGTTTATATATAGAGAAGTCATTTGAAGTCAGTGGTTTGTATTATTATACATATACAACATACATACATACATTGTTTATATATATATATAAACAGACCACAAAAATTATATTAGCCACTTTTACACTAGTTCAGTGTTTCTCAATCTATTTTAAATATAAACCACAATAAAAAACACATTTCATACACTCAACATTTCTAATGAAATACAATCTAGCCAAGCTCATCTATTCTAATTTAAATAAATACATGCATATATATTTATAAATAATATACGTATATGTGTTATATATACGTATATTATTTATACATAACATGTATATTATATACATGTTATTTATAAATATTTATTACACATAAATAATATATGTATAAATAATATACATATATATACATACATATTTTTTTTTGCTTGCATAAAGAAACATGGAGCCATATCATATTGATTCCACTCTCTAGTGAATAGGAATAGGAATTTCAAATAAATATCAGTGTTATTTCCCTTCTTCTACTTCCTCTTTCTCTTCTCCTTCTCCATGTCTTCCCTTTCTTCTTCTTCTTCTTCTCTTCTTTCTTCTTCCTCATCCGCCTTCTTCTTCTCCTTCTCCTTCTTCTTCCTCTTGTTCTTCCTGTAAAGACAGGGTCTAGCTATGTTGTCTAGACTGGAGTGCACTGGCTATTTACAGGTGTGATTATAGCACACTGCAGCCTCAACTTCCTGGCCTCAAGCAGTCCTGCTTCAGTTTTCCAAGTAGCTAGAATTACATGCACCATCAGTATTACTTCTTATAATGAAAGCAAAAGCAATTGTTCTCCAAATAGAACACTTCTTCACTATTCCAAAATCACATATTTGCATATATGTGGGCTGACTACTGCTAATATAGGAACCTCTAAGTCATGATGAAGAGAAAGATTTACTAAAAAATTCTAAAGCTCTAGGAGCAGACCACAAAAATATATATTAGCAACCCGTACACTAGTTCAGTGTTTCTCAATCTTTTTTGAATATAAACCGCAATAAGGAAGCAAAACACACTGCCATGTGTGTACCTACGCAACTGTCTTGCATGTTCTGCTCATGTACCCCAAAACCTAAAATGCAATAAAAAATTTTAAAAAAAAAGGAAACACATTTTATACACTCTGAATATTTCTAATGAAATACAATCTAGCCAAGCCCATCTATTCTAATTTAAATAAATACATGCATACATATATGTATAAATAATTATTGCAACCAACTAAATTGATCTCATGACCCTGTCATATGTATGATCAACAGCTTCAAAAAAAATTGTCCCAGCTAATAGCTACTAAAATAACACATTCAGTATGTTTGTGGCAAGATATTTTGTGTCAGTTGTCACATATGTAATGGATTCTGCATTATAAAATATAAAACACTATTTATTCCAAATAAAGTACAAAAAGTATGAATTCTGTAGAGCAGCAATCCTATGTTTTGACCACATCATACAACACTGACTTTTACATAGTAAATGTCCAGTGAAATTTTGTCAACTTTTTATTACAGTGTATTTACATACAGAAAAAAACACACATTTCAGTGAACATTTACTTTATTGAATGAATGAATGATCCATATATTCAATGAATATAAATTAAATCTTTGAAAAAATACTTCTCTGTTACTTTAGGCAAATAGAATCCTTTGCTTATGTAAGTTGACCTCATTATTACTGATCTTTTATTCTTGTTTCTCAAGTTTTTACCAATATAAACAAGGGTGAATTAGATTTAGAATTAAATTGTATTGTCTAAAAATAGTAATCATATTCCTTCCATAATTTTGAAGACACAGACTCCAAAAAGATTTGAAGAGATCTAACCTTGAATTTTCTGAGCTTTATGGCTTTATTGTTCTCCTATCTATATAAATATAACTGACTCATCACCCATATTCCATTGTCAGCAGCATGCACCAAAAAAAAACACAAAATCAGGGACAGGATGGTAGTACAAGCTGCAGAATGATATTTTTCTATGTTTTTTTATGACTATGGAACTATGGTGGTGCTTGATGAAGATGCTTTTGTCTGTTAAAGTTACTCTTCTATAGAAGTCAGACCTGGGAACTGAGCATCTGAACAAGTAGTAGTTACAAGGTTTTGACTTGAAATCAGCTCCTCTGCAATAAATTACTGTCCATAAATTACTTATATGCTTCTATATGGAAGACTATGAACTGGGCTTTGGAGAAAGATTGGATTGGAATTCAAAATCACTTGATGTTTGTAAGAAAAAAAAAATCATTTGAAAAAAGACATTGTTTATCCAAGAAGCTGTAACTAGGTCAGTTTGGTTCGATTTGAGAAATGCTATAAAGCAGCAGTCTCACACTCAGACAAGTACACCCTTAAGTGTGTTCCAAGATTTTCCAGGGGGTACACAGGCATGGATATTCTTTCTGAAATTCTCAAGTTTCAAAGGTACTTTTTCTGAAATTTCATCTGCCCTGAGACTCTGAAGCTGGCTACTTCTGGTTTTTCCAACTTTTCTACCACCACCACATTTCCCTTATTTAAAAAATGAAAAAGGTAACTTTCATCAGTCTTAATATGACACATTGCTCAGGATGTAAAAAAGTTGAGAATGGGAAAAGGTGAACTGGCTAAAGCAAAGGACAATTTGAGAATACATTAAACCTGAAATGAAAGGATAAGTAGATTAATCAATACATGTAAATAAAAGGTCTGTACACACTCTGGGAGGCCGAGGTGTGTGGATCACCTGAGGTCAGGAGTTCCAGTCCAGCCTGAACAGCATGGTAAAACCCTGTCTCAACTAAAATTACAGAAATTAGCTGGGCATAGTGGTGTGTGCCTCTAATCCCAGCTACTTGGGAGACTGAGGCAGGAGAATCGCTTGAATCCGGGAGGCAGAGGTTGCAGTTAGCTGAGATTGCACAACTGCACTCCAACCTGGGTAACAGAGCTAGACTCCGTCTCAAAAAAAGGAAAAAAAAAATAAAAGTACCGGCAGCTGGGTATGAACTACTGAGGGACAACATTCACATTCATCCATGCTACACATTCATGGCAAAATCTCCCTCTCTGACTTATTAATTTTTTAATAATCTTAATAATGATAACACTAATAGATCATTTGAATTGAACACTACAAACATTTTTCTCATAAAAGTGACACCAAGGCTGGGAGAGGTGGCTCACGCCTGCAATTCCAGCACTTTGGGATGCTGAGGCGGGTGGATCACTTGAGATCGGGAGTTCAAGACCAGCCTGACCAACATGGTGAAACCCCGTCTCTACTAGAAATACAAAATAGCCAGGCATGGTGGCACGTGCCTGTAATCTCAGGTACTCGGGATGCTGAGGCAGGAAAATCGCTTGAATCCAAGAAGCAGAAGTTGCGGTGAGCAGAGATCACACCATTGCACTCCAGCCAGAGCAAGAAGAGCGAATGTCTGTCTCAAAAAAAAAAAAAAAAAAAGAAAAGAAAAAGAAAAATGCTGGTTTTACTAATGATTTAGGTGATAAGTAAGACATGTTCCATCATTAGGATAAACTCAATCTAGAGCTCCATATCCTTGAAGTATTCCATGATACGCGTTTTACTTAATTTTTTATTTTTGTTAACTTATTTTTTGAGACAAAATTGTGCTCCTTTGCCTAGGCTGGAGTGCAGTGGCACGATCTCGGCTCACCACAACCTTCACCTCCCACGTTCAAGCGATTCTCCTGCCTCAGCCTTCCAAGCAGCTGGGACTACTGGCACCCGCCACTACACCTGGCTAATTTTTGCATTTTTAGTAGACACGGAGTTTTACCATGTTGGTCAGGCTGGTCTCCATCTCTAGACTTCATGATTCAACCACCTCAGCCTTCCAAAGTGCTAGGATTACAGGCATGAGCCTCCATGCCTGGCTGAAATGCATTTTAAATTTATACTTGATATTGCACCAGTGTCAGATATTTTATTCCTTGCAAATATTAAACTGTTGATATTAAAAATTTCAAATATCAGCTTTATAATATTCAAGGTGCTATTGTCTTAAAGATTTCATGGAATGTGTGAGCAAAAAAAAAATATTTGGAGAATAGGGATATAAAAGAGCAGAGAAACATGAATTTGGAAAGCGGCTGAGGGCTTCAGGCATGCAGTGTTGGAGAGCTAAAGAATTTGGAATTCATCCTCAAGGCACTGAAACTCTAAAGGGCCAATCAGCTTATATCTCGTTAGTCTATTAGATTTCAAGTTAAGAAAATGTATTTCTTTTCTTTTTTTTTTTTTTTCTGAGACGGAGTTTCGCTCTTGTTACCCAGGCCGGAGTGCAATGGCGCGATCTCGGCTCACCGCAACCTCCGCCTCCTGGGTTCAGGCAATTCTCCTGCCTCAGCCTCCTGAGTAGCTGGGATTACAGGCACGCACCACCGTGCCCAGCTAATTTTTTGTATTTTTTTAGTAGAGACGGGGTTTCACCATGTTGACCAGGATGGTCTCGATCTGTTGACCTCGTGATCCACCCGCCTCGGCCTCCCAAAGTGCTGGGATTACAGGCTTGAGCCACCGCGCCCGGCAAGAAAATGTATTTCTTTAGAAATATCAAACACATTTTATTAACTGAGGAAAGCACTTCCTTCTTTCCTGTTATTTTTGTTTATTGAGGTTCAATGCATTTTCTAATATTTCTGAGAAATAGTGTTAGAAATTTTATTAAATGGCATGGTATTGAGACACAAAGATATGTAATTTCTTAAAAAGAGAAACACTTGGTATCTTAATACTAAAATTCGTTCCTCTTC